TTGCTCACTGCACGGGTGGGACTAGATGGTCTTTAATGGTCCCTTCCCACCCAGACCCTGCTGTGATTCTACTCTGTGATCCTATTGCCACTCCATCCCACCAGCATATGGAAACCTGTCAGCTCGGCAAAGGGCAGAGACCTCCTCCTGTTGTGAAGGCCAGGGTCTATAGGAGATGCTCACCAGCATTCAGAAAAGGGTGTTAATGCTTCAGGTTCTCTTGTGTCCCTGTTCACGCTGCTGCATGCTGGAGATGTTTGCTCTCCGATGGGCCGCGGTCATGGTCATGGAGTAGGAGCTTCCCTTGTTTCTCTCTGGGCCACCAGGTCAGAGGTGGTAAATTTGCAACCCCTGGGCACTGCACCCCTCCACCCTGGGTCTGGCATTGGCAAGGGTCCTAGGAGAGCTGGAGCCTCTGTCCCTCAGGGTGCAATTCACCTCAGCCCCCCTCTCGATGCCTGACCGCCTCTATAGCCCCCTCCTCACCGCAGCATTGCCTCCCCAGCAGAGGTATGGGACAGGGGCTGTTCCTGGCCAGGAACGTTACCACCATGGAGCATCTCTTCTTGCCTCCTCTTGCAGGAACTACTTCCACCTGCCATACTTTGAGAAGAAACCCTGCATCTATATCAAGAGCTGGTGGCAGGACCAGCGCCGCAGGTTGTACAATGCCAACATCATGGACAAGATTGCGGACAAGCTGGTCAGTGGGTGCTGGGGAGGAAGGGAGGGAGGCAGCTTGGGGCATGGGGCTGGCATGAGGCACATCCAGGCTTCCTGTGCAGCTCCACAGCTTGTCACAAAGCGGGGACAAGCAGTACGAGGACCTATTAGCAAACTCGTGCCAGAAAGGGGGAAGTTTCCCAGTGCTAAGTGCTCCACAGTTCGAATGTCCAAATCCTAGGAGCTCATTGAATTTTCTGTGGGTCAGACCTAGGTGTCCCCAGCAAAGGGAGCAGGGGCGGGGAGGCTTCGTCCCCCTGGACTGCAGGAGTGAGCCACTCCTGTGGCCGAACCTCCTCAATAGTCTCAGTTAATTGCCAAAGAGCCTTTGTGACAGCTCCATGTTGGCAGGGTCACAGCAGGATCTTCAAAGGGATAGCCTGGCAGGTCCAGCCAAGACGGGGTGGACCTTGGCCAACTAGTCTCATGGAGAGCCGTGGAGCCATTGCCATCACCCAGAGCTAGGTCCCTGCAGCTAAATGTCTGCCAGACCTGAGCTCTAAGGCCGGCAGCTCTGGAGAAGCAGCAGATGTTTCCCACTGGCAGCCCCCACAGGGCTGCTCTATGTAGGGTTGGACCTCAGGTGGGACCTCGCCCCACCGACCCCTCACCACTCCCCCCATTTGATGCTGCAGGAGGAAGGGCTGAACGACGTGCAGGAGATGATCAAGACGGAGAAGCCGCACCCGGAGCGCCGGCTCCGAGGGGTCCTGGAGGAACTGAGCAATGGGTGCTTGTGAGTAAACGGTGGGCAAAGGTGGCACACTGCTCTCTTGGGCCTATGGGCAAGGCCACGAGCATGAGCTCTCCTTGCCTTATCCTCCGGGTGATGAGCAAGCATTTAATTGCATTGGCACAGTGCCGTATCAGCAGCTGCCCTCTGGCTTGGAGCAAGGGTGAGGTGGTGCTTACATCTGCACCCCAAAGACCCCAAACCAGTGGTGAAAGCCTCAATCTTGTGGCCTCCACAGGCTGGTACCTGATCGGCACCTACTCCCCATGCACGACACTCAACATTGGGTGCAGATAAGCCACTTGGCCACGATTACGTTGCAGGCTGGGGGGGGAACGAGGGCGTTTCCCTCCAGTGGGCTGCTCTCCTGCTGGCAGAGATCCATCCATCCCATGGGCTCCCGTGGGATTCATGCTGCCAGCCTTTTCCACCAGGCGCTTCGTGACGTTGGCTGACAAGGACCAGCACCACTCTTCCCGCACGAGGCTGGACCGGGAGAGACTCAAGTCCTGCATGCGGGAGCTGGTAAGTGGGATTCGGCCGGGCAGGGAGGAGGGTTCATAAGCGGGGGCTGAACCTTGTCAATGCAGTGGGGAATCTGGTCCGTAGGCGTGCTGGTTTCCAGTCTTTGTGAATTGAGGGTTTGGGGGTTATTTCTTAGCAGAGGAGCCTGAGACTCCACACTTGGGTCCACGCTGCTGCCTCCCCTCCACCACACTCTGCTTTGCCTTGGAAAGAAATCCAGGAGTGCAGAGGAGGAGCTGCACTGCTGTCAAGCAGCTGAGGACAGCGGGGAGGAGTGATTCAGGGGAACCCTGCAGAGCACAGCTGCTCCGGGGATGGTTATGGCCGAGGTGCTTGGGGCTGGTAGCCCAGCTCCTTGCAAAGGAGTCGGATGTGCAAAGAGCAGGTGGCTTATCCAGCTGCCACGGCCAAGGACACCAGCTTCTGTAGCCAGCTGCATACTAGAGCGTGACGGCTTCAGCGTGCGAAAGCCTCCACGTCCCCTTTTCTGAGCTGTCAGGTGCTGACTTACAGCAGGGTCAGCAGAAGGGGAGAGGCTGTCCTTAACACCAGGCTAGAAGTCACCCCAAAATGCCCGAAGCACAGCTGGCACCTCTGTCCTGCACACCTTCCGCTGGGACGGAGGTCTCTGTACCGTCAGGGGCCCTCCTGCACCCTGCCAAGGCTGACCAAGGGGTGTCAGAGGTACCGTCACCGGGATGCATCTGCCTCCTCACCACCCTCTCCCAGATGCTGGGGACCTGCCAGGTGCTGCTCCCTTCTTTGTGCTCCAGTCTGCTCTTGCTAATGTGGTGTCCTGGGCTCTCCTTTAACCACAGGAGAACATGGGGCAGCAAGCCACGACTCTGCGGTCGCAGGTGAAGAAGAACACCATGAAAGACAAGATGAAGCTGGTGCAAAACTTCCTGCAGAAACTCCGGTTCTTGGCGGACGAGGTGAGTCCCTCCGCACATAGAGAGAGTGTTAGCTGTCAACGCAACGGTGACAGCAGCCTGGGATGGATGGAGACCTCTGGGCAAACCCTGTAGGCAGAGGAGGTCCCAGTAGGACAGGTCTTGTGCAAGGACTAACCCACGCCAAGCCTACGTGGTGTCCCATGCCTCCCAGGCACTGCTGGGTTGGAACAAGTCAGCACTAAAACAAATCTAAGAGTCCTTCCCAGCCGGTAACAGAGCTGAGTCTTCTTGCAGCTGAGCTGAAGGCAGTTTTGCCGGTCTCAGCCACGGTGAAGCCATGCAGTTCCCTGGGGCATCAGTCATCAGAAGGTCCACACAGCGCTGAAGTCAGCAGCAGGGAGCTGTTTCTGATCCTGGCTAGGTAGGGAGCTGTTAAAGCGAGTAGCTCTTCAAAGGGCTGTGGGATAAAGCCCTGTCCTCTCGCAGAACTCAAGCCATCTAATTTTTATTGCTGCAGTGTAGTCTTGCTTCCCTCCAGCTCACGGGTAAGAGATAATAACCCAGTATATTGGAGTTGCTCACAGCATTTCCAAAGCGATGCTGTGTCATGAAATATTTTTTTCCTTCCTTCAGAAAAATACAGCATTCATCTGATATTTTTACAGTTTAGGACTGGGTCAGCCATTGGGGGTTACTGGCCCTCATGGGAGCTGTAGTTGTTGCACCTCCTGTTCTCATTTCCCGTGGCAGGCTCCCAGCCTCAACTACGTACCCCTTATAACAGCCAGGCCTTCTTTTGCTTGCACTCACAACAGCAGAACATAAACCAGACTATAAGGTGTGATGGGACCTGTCCAGGCAGAGAATCTGTTCCATAGTAAGGAATGAAGGTATGGCCCCTGCCCCACCATCCCCATCGCCATTGAATGAAGAGAGAAGGACAATCTGTAGTCTTATAATCCTTTTTTTTTTTTTTTTTTTAACTAGAACAAATGTAAAACCCAGTTTCTGTCCTGCTAGGCTTCACCCTGCTGAGCTGTTGTGGTTTAGCCCCAGCCAACAATTAAGCACCACACAACTGCTCACTCACCACCCCGCCATGGTGGGACAGGGGAGAGAATTGGAAAAAAAAAACTCATGGGTTGAGATAACAACAGTTTAATAGGACAGCAAAATAAGAGGAAACAACAACAACAATAATGATAATACCAACAAAGGAATGTACAAGAACAAGTGATGCCCAATGCAGCCATTGCTCCCCACCCGGTGATCGATAACCCATCCCCACGCAGCGATTCCTGCCCCCCAGCCAACTCCAGTTACATACTGGGCCTGACATCATATGCCAGGGAATATCTCTTTGGCCAATCTGGGTCAGCTGTCCTGGCTGTCCTTAGCTCTGAGCTGCTTTTCTTAAGCAGATGAGCTTCTGCAGTGGGAGGCTCAAAATTATTTCAATGGCCCTAATGTCCCAATAGGTACATCCATCTCCTGTGGCATCAGCTGAATTTGCCTTCAGAAGGCCTCCAGCCCCGCTGGTGCCTCAGTGGTCAGAAAGAGCTGAGACACTGACAGGGCTCTTCGCTGGTGTTCACAGCCCCAGCACACTATTCCCGACATTTTCATCTGGATGATGAGCAACAACAAGCGCATTGCCTACGCCCGCATCCCTTCCAAGGACATCCTCTACTCTATTGTGGATGAGGAGATGGGCAAGGACTGCGCCAAAGTGAAGACCATCTTCCTTAAGGTGCCGATCTGTCTTTCCTGGGGCAACTGCAGCGAAGAGGAGGGAGATGGAGGAAGGATAGACTGGGAGGATGGGAGATGAAGATGAGAGCGCTGTGTATCCAGTTTTGCTGGGGCTTGAATACTAGGCAAAACAGACCCAATACTCTACTGGTAGGGGTGGAAGTCTGCTGCTAGGAATTGTGAACCACTGATCTTACCCCGTCCGGTAAGTGAGAAATGTTTGGAAGGAGACAGATGTTTGATCCAGCTGGCCACAAAAGAGGATGTTGACTTAGAAAAAGCCAGCGTGGTGGGAAGAAGATAATGCATGAGCCAGGGTAGTGTTATGATCCAAAATTATGAGGTCCCTGGTTTTAAGGGGCAGCAGTACAAGTGATGCACCAGAAGGATTTGAATGCTGCAAGAGGTGGTCAGTCCATCTCTAAGGCTTTCCCTATATCCATGTAAACTCTTCTGTCCTTTGTGCCCAGCTACCTGGGAAGAGGGGCTTTGGACCTGCTGGCTGGACAGTTCAGGCCAAGATGGAGATGTACTTGTGGCTGGGCCTCAACAAACAGCGCAAAGACTTCCTGAGTGGCCTGCCCTGTGGTTTTGAGGAGAAGAAGACCACCAGAGGCCAAAATCTGCCTTCCTTCCCGCCCATCAGCCTCCTTTACACCAGTAAGAACTTCCTGCCTGCAGTGGGTCTGGGGACAGGACATGGAGAGGGCAGGAGGGAGCCTGGCTGGACACCACTTGGACTAAGGGCTTCCAGGACCTCAGGGGAAAATAATTCCAGTCGTCCCAGTCTGAGGTCTCACACTGCTCCCATGGGGAGCTGGAGTGTGGGAACTGTGCACCCTCTTCCTTACCCTGTTCATAGCTCTGGTTATTCTGCACATGGTGGGCAGGATGCCGAGGAAGTCTGTATCCATTCGGGACTCATGCTTTGAGCCTGTATCCTCCATCAGTGCTGCCCCTGGCCAAAAGCGTGCCCCTGGGACCTCACTCTGCAGGCTGAGCCCCACGGTTGCCTATCAAGCTGCCTCACCTCCCCTCTCCCTTGCAGAGAAGCAGGTTTTCCAGCTGCGAGCCCACATGTACCAAGCCAGGAGTTTATTTGCAGCCGACAGCAGTGGCCTTTCAGACCCCTTTGCACGAGTCTTCTTCATCTCCCAGAGCCAGTGCACAGAGGTAAACACCATCCCTGACCTGGAGAGCGTTGCGTGTCCCATCAGCTCTCCGTCCTGCTCCCCTGCCACAGGTCTCGCGACTGCTAGTGGATCAAGGATTAGGTTAATGGTTAGGTTAAGCACCCACATGGGGTCCTGTGGTGGGAAAGCAGCCACAGCACTGGGGATTGACTGTCTCCAGGACCCCCTTCCCCAGGAGCACCTTCACGACATGTCCCCCTGCACCAGCTATCCCACATCCCTGTGGCTGTGGTTCACCTGCCTGGTTAGGAGATACCGGAGCATTCCCACTGGTGGGCACTGCGAATAATTTGGGTCTGCTTGCCTGCTGTTGGAGTTTTTGTCTCAGAAGAGTTCTTGGGAGCTACCCCATGGCTTCCTGGTCCAAAAACATGTAGAGCAGCCCACTGGAGCTGCAGCCTGACACATGGCTGAGACAGGCCAGGGCTGTGCTGATTCTCCAGAGCTCATCCCCGTGGCTGCCCCATCACTGGGCACTGTTTCACCCAGATTATACAGAAAGAAGTAGGTAATCACGCAGAGCAAATAGGAACACCAGAGCGAGGGGTGAACACTGCGAGCTGCCAGGGTCAAGATCCGCACGGTGTTTCAGACCCTTCGTTCCCCCTCCCTTCAGATCAGGCTTCAGATCCTATTGCGGATCATCCCATCTCCTGCCCCATCAGCCCTGCGATCTGTAGAGCACCGGCTTTGATCCAACACCCTTTGATCCAACAAACAGCTGCAAGCCAAAGCGCTGCATGGAGAGGACATCGATACCTACTCGACTGCAGAGAGCTGTAGTGTACGCAACTGCGTCACAGCGCTCTTAATTCTCTTAATAACCGCTGTAGACAAAAGGACCCCTAAAGGGTACAGTGCTGCTCATCTATTGTAGCCATACACCTTAGGAAGAGACAAATTGCACCATAAAAATGTTGTTTTCTTTCCATTGCTTATAAAGGAATCCTGGGGTAACTATTCTAAAAGTAATGGAGCCTGTACATTGTCCACAATGTCTGAAATAAATATTTCCAAGGCATCGCCCACCCCAGCACTGCTAATATCCTGGAGCAGGAAAACTGAGACCAACGCCCTGCCTGCTGCCCTTGCCCAGGGCATCAGCCTCTGGCTGGAGCAGTAAGTCCCTCTCCCATTCTTCCAGGTTCTCAATGAGACCCTTTGCCCGACCTGGGACCAGCTGCTGGTTTTCAACAATGTGGAGCTGTATGGAGAAGCTCATGAGATGCGGGATGACCCTCCCATAATTGTCATTGAGATCTATGACCAGGACACAGTGGTAAGATGAATCCCAGCAAAGGGAAATGTTTACGATTTAGATGCTGCAATCACTTCTGAGTCGGAGGCAAGGCAGATGGTGCAGAGGATGTGAGAAGGAGCTTTTCTCCTGACCCTTGGAAGATGGTTCCCCCCAACATCTTCCATGGCATGAGCAGTCTCTGCTGATTATTAGATATCAGACTCAACTTAATGATATCTTATTTTTGGAGAGTGAAGCAAGAGCTTATGTGAGGCTGGAGGCAAGGAGACATTACCTGCTCAGCCCTGGCCTCCTTGCTGTCCCAGCCCTAGGCCACCTCTTTCACCTTATTTGAAGAAGCCGGGAGTGAAAGCTGTCACTGAGGTTCGGTGTCCCAGGCCCAGTGGGCTGGTCCTGTTCTGACCACAATGGGGAGAGCTGTGGGGCTAACTTGGAGGACTTCATGTTGGGTCAGCAAACCCAAGTGCTCTCTTCACCTCTCCAGGGCAAAGCTGACTTCATGGGCCGCACCTTTGCCAAACCAGTGGTGAAGATGTCGGATGAGCACTACTGCCCTCCACGCTTCCCCCCGCAGCTGGAGTACTACCAGATCTACCGGGGCAACTCCACAGCCGGTGACCTGCTGGCTGCCTTCGAGCTGCTCCAGGTACCAGCTGGCCAAAGCCACCCCAGACTGAGGGATGGAAAGAATCACAGAATCAGGTTGGAAAAGACCTTTAAGATCATCAAGTCCAACCATCAAATGGTTGGATGAGATGGAGGGTTGCAAGGGAGCAGGGCTTAACCCATGCTTATATATCTTAGGTGCTACAAAGAGCAGGTAGCTCATACATCCTAGAAAAGCTAGAAGGGTTTAGCACAGCTACTAACCCAGTGAGAGGGCAGCTCCTGCCATCTCTTGCTAGAATCAGGTTGGAAAAGACAGTCCCAGGCATCGTGCTGGACAGGACACCCCACTAAAGTGCTGTGTTTAGCCCAAACTCTGCACCATCACTGGGATACAGGAGATGCCAATGGGAGTCTCGGCGCTCTCAGAGATGCCAATTTGAAGGTCTCAGGAAAGAGGGGTGTGAATTCATAGCAGCATCCAAAAAATATGGTGAAATTTTAGCGCATAGTCTCTGGGGGTAGCAGGGTTAAACCCTCCCGCTTTCGTGCCTCCTTTCCACTGAAACCGTTGTATTTGTATGGACGTGTCTCAGCAGCCTCCGGGTGTGCAGGGGCATGAGATGTCCCAGCTGAAAAGAGAGAGGCCCCAGAAAACTCAGCGCAGTGCTGGCGGGTTTGGCCGCACAAGGACCAACCTGCCGCAGGCACCTCTAACGCAGCTGAGCGCCAGCCAGGGGCGGTGGTCCCCAGGCTGGCCCCACGTCCACGCACGCCAGGAGCAGGCAGGGCCTGGGGAGGAGGGTGGACCCTTGGGGGCTACATGCTCCCTCCACCTCGGGGTCTCCCCTTTATCTCAAAGGAGACTTTCCTTTACATACCTGTCCGTCTGCGATGTCCTCAGGTGCCCCGTGACGATGGTGAGATTGGGGCAGCCTTGCAGGCTGCTGCTGAGCCTGGTGTCCCACTCCCCAAGGTGGTTTTCCCGTTTCTGATGCCAGAGGAGGTGCTCGTCCAAGCCCTTTTTTATCCCCAACTTTCCTTGCAGTGGGGTGGTTTCTCTAGGGACTGGCTCACATGGGATATCTGATCTCCCTGCTGCTCTGGGTTGGAAACGAGACCTGAAACCTGCTCCTGGGCTAAGCTCTTGAACCATTTCTGCATCTCTTCACACCCAGCCCAGGCGGATGCAACTCCTTGCAGGAGGAAAAGGAACAGCCCTGGGGTTGGGATGCGTTGGTGGGCTGAAAGTTTGCGTTGCTGCTGGGTCTGTCCCGTGTGGAAGCACAGCACTGCCCAGCACCTTCTGCTCATGTGTGTGCCTTTTCCCAAAATACCTGGAGGGTACAGGATGCTCAGCAACCCTTGTTGCTCCTGCACCCTCTGAGACAACACAGACCCAATGCATGAGACCAGGGTGTGCCAGTTACAGCTGAGACTACCAAAACCAGCTTCCCTTCGCCAGTTCAAAGGAACAGATCCTAATCCCAGCTGCATCTCTTCCAGATTGGCCCTGGGGGCAAGTCAGACCTGCCCCCAATCGACGGCCCAACAGACATGGACCGGGGCCCCATCCTGCCAGTGCCACTGGGGATTCGGCCAGTGCTGAGTAAATACAGAGTGGAGGTAATTGCCTTGGAGCACCAAATTTTAATGCTCAGTATTATGTGGAGCAAGAGAGCCTGTCCATGGGTGTTTGAAGGCCAGGAGGGATCTCTGAGGCTCTGATGACTAGCTGGGCACCAAGACCAGACGTCTGCGCTGCAGGCATCTGTCTGTACTGGCTGCACAGGGAGTGAGGCTGCGGCAGCCCTAAAAGAACAGGGAACTGGATGACTCCTTGTTGTCTCAAATGCGGGCACCGTAGCAAGTCTAGAGCCCTGCAGCAAATGGCACTTGGGCTGAGATGCAATGCAGGGCACATGAGACGCGCAGGTAATACATCTCCACCCGAAGCAGTCCCCTAGGTCAGGTGAGCTGCATCCCACCAAGCTCAGCCACCAAGAGCAGGATGCCTCTCATGTACCTGTAGGTATCTAAAGGGTGATGGATCCAATCAGGGCCCCTCTCCTTTGGGTGTCTTGGTGGTGATCCAGGCAACGCAGCCAGTGACGTTCATTGCACAGTTCACCCACGGCTGTAGGTACCTCTGCTTAGATGAGATGCTGCTGACCAAATCTCCAGGTCTCTAAAAGGATCCTAGCTCCTGCTCTTCCACACATTTGCAGCTGGTTAAATAAATTTTAATTTTATTTAAGCTGGAATAAATAAATTCCTCTGATGTGCAAGGTGAACACAGCCATGGGGAATCAGGAGGTGGAAAAATCTCAGTTTAGGGGAACTTTTGCTTGTGGTGGCAGTCTGTTATCATATAGAAGGGAGAGGCAAGTTTCCCCAGTGATACTGATATCATTTTCACATAAACGGTGCCAGCACCGAATGAAGAGCCACTGTGGGTGGACAAAGCTGGTCTGGTACTGCTCTATGGAGTCCCATGGCAGAAAAAGGCTAGAAAGGGAGAAAGGCAGAAAAGGGAGTGTTGAGGGCAGCAGGTTGGAGATCTTAGGCTACTGCAGTTCAGGCATGGGGTGGGGTGTCAGAGAGAGATTGTGCTGCAACCCTGAGCCACATGGAGGAGGAGACGATACCTCAGGGATCCACCACTGCCTGGGCAATGACATTTGCAGTAGGATCTCTGCTCCTGGGGGATATGGAGAACCAGCTCCCGTGACTCTAGCCTGGCTCCAGCCAGGGGCGCAGTTCCTCTCACATTCGTGCTCTTCCTTCTCCTCCTCCTGACCTAGATCTTGTTTTGGGGGCTGAGGGATCTGAAGAGAGTGAACCTGGCCCAGGTGGACCGGCCCCGTGTGGACATTGAGTGTGCTGGGAAGGGGGTCCAGTCAGCCCTCATCCAGAACTACAAGAAAAATCCCAACTTCAGCACTTTGGTCAAGTGGTTCGAAGTGGTGAGTGTTTCCTCTTGCCCCGAGCCCTCAACTGAAACCCAGATTTTCTGGAGCCCAAACCATGACACCTAACCCCTTGCTTCAGTTTCCCCACAGCAATGGAGCTCCATCCCAGTTGGTGATGGCCTTTCTCTGAGGCCTCCCAAGTCATGCTTTGCTGGAGCTGCTCTAGACCTCCTCCTCCAACATGATCCCTGCTTTAGTAGTGGCCTTTCCAACCACCAAAGTAGACAGCCCACACCCAACCCTTGATAACCATCACACCTTTGCTTCCCAGGACCTCCCAGAGAATGAGCTTCTCCACCCACCCCTCAACATCCGGGTGGTGGACTGCAGGGCTTTTGGGCGTTACACCCTGGTGGGGTCCCACGCCGTCAGCTCCCTCCGAAAGTTCATCTACCGCCCACCAGATAAGACAGCCCAGCACTGGAATATGACAGGTACCAGGCTTGGGCCACGGGGGGCTGGCTGGTATGGGTCATTGCGGGGGGCATTGCATGCAGCAGAGGGACATAGAAAAGAGGGAGATGGGTTGTAAGGACTATGGGACATTGCCTGCTTGTTGGTCACGCAAGCAGTGATTCAGGGTTTGGGTCAAGGGGGTGAGAAGGTACAGGGTGTGAGGCCATGATTCCCCTTTAATTTTCTGATCTGTTGGTCTCACTGCAAAAACTGCGCTCCCCCCGATACCTGTAAGACAAGAAAGGCTCGTTCACCTCTAACTTCTCTGCAATTTCATGACGCTACACTCCCCAAGTGTTCCTCAAGACTGGGAGGTGAATTTCCCATGCTCCATGCCTTCTGCTATTATTTAAGACTAGAAAGCTACAGATTGAGGCCACCCTCTCAGTTCCAACCACCACCCCATCTCTGCCCAGCAAAAACCATCAAACCCCCACTTTCCCCGCACCCAGCGCAGCAGCCGAGGGCTTGCTGAGCCACAGGAATTGCTCATCTCCTCCCAGTCCTTGGTGGAAGCGGAGGCACTCTTGGCTGGGCAGAGACAGGAGTTCTGTGGGAGGATTGCCAAGGGCTGTCCCTGGTTCCAGCCAGAGGTCTGGACCTGCGGTTGTGTCCATGCCAGGTCATATTTTCAGGGCAATCATCTTCTCTGCCTTTTCTCCTCTGGAGGTTGGTGCAGGTGAAAAAAAAAAACAATCCTTTTTCATCATCTGCTTTCCTTTGCTATGGAAGGGTTTTTTAATCACGCTATAAGAGTCTGTGCTCATTTCCTCTGCTCTTCTTCTCTGAACAAGGCGGTCACACATCACTCCTGCATGAATCCTGTAAGATCTCACCTGAGCTCTCAGTTTCTCCTCTACACTATCCTATTCTCTTGTTCTTTCTCTGTCATCTGTCCAGCTAAACATCTCAATGGCTATCTGCCAATGGCCAACAGGGCCCATCGCTCTCGCCCCACAGGGGAGATCATTGTCAATATGGAGCCTGAGGTTCCCATCAAGAAGATGGAGACGATGGTGAAGCTGGAAGCTGTGAGTATCCATATGTCAGCACCACTTTAACATCTCTTTCCTCACTGAATTGCCAATTTCTGAGGGATTTCACCCA